CACACACAATAAACACAGCCATCCCGTCCTCGTCTCTCACACACACAATAAACACAGCCATCCCGTCCCTATGTCTCTCTCTCACACATGCACACCCACCTATTCTGTCCCCGTATCTCTCCCACTCACACACACACACACACACCCCTATCCCGTCCCTGTAGTTCTCTCACACACACACACACACACACACACACACACACACACACACACACAATAAACACAGGTATCCCGTACCCATCTATGATCAGGTTCTCATAAGGTGCTTTCTTGTCACATACAGGGCAAACCCACGTGGCTTTCTTCTCATTCATTTGTAGGTAAAGAGTTGCATCAAAGCACTGTAGGTGTGTGCAGGTGACTGCCCGGCATGGCACTGAGAGCCGCATCTTTCCCAGCTGTACAAACATACCAAGTTAGTCTGATTCACTCAAAACATCTTTTAGCAGATTATGAAAGATAGACAGTGTCCCCAGCACCGAGCGACAGAAATACCCAAATCCCTTTATGTCGGTGCTAGTACTTTCTCCACAGCACAGCGGGGTCAATGAGGTGTGCTCAAGAAACCAAAGTTGCAGGCAGCAGTGTTTTGAGTTCAGCATGTGGAAAGGGTGACATCTCTCTAAATGCCCTAATTATCAAGCATACACATCTCTGGATTATGGGTCTGGAAAATAGTCGTGACTGGGTTGCAAAGTAATTATCTTGTGATTGTTTGGAACTGCAAAGTCCAAAGGTTAAAGAAGGCTATCGTCGATTTGTTTTTTACAAAAAAAGGTCTTTGGAAAGCAGTTTGCAGCGAAGTGAGGTAAGTGCAGAGTGCTATTGCTTCAAGTGTTGAGCAAATAGACCTGGAAAGTGCAGATGGATCTATGCTGCTGTCACCTAGCAACCACCGCTGGACTAAGGTAATGGGCATTTCTTCAGAAGACACATAGAAGCTGAGGGCAGTTGTTGCGTAAGATTTCAACAATGTAGTACTGTATCTCTCAGTCAGAGAGAGTCAGAGTTTGAAGTTGCAAGCAACACTCAATGAAATAGCTCAAAAAACTCCGGTGAACTTTCAAATATTGGATTTCTTAACTGTTTCTCATCTGAATTTGAAATCTGGTCTAAAAATTTCCTATCATTCTATGACTAAACCCATTGACCAGAGACTGAAGGAACAATGGGTGGCATGATGCCTCAATGGTTAGCACTGCTGCCTCACAGCGCCAGGGACCTGGGTTCAATTCCACCCTCAGGTGACTGTCTGTGTGGAGTTTACACATTCTCCCTGTGTCCGCGTGAATTTCCTCCAGGTGCTCCGGTTTCTTCCCACAGTCCAAAGATGCGCAAGTTATATGGATTGGCCATGTTAAATTACCTATAGTGTTCAGGGATGTGTAGGTTAGGTGTGCTGGCCGAGGCGGGGGCGGCGTATAGGGATGGTCTTTGGAGGGTCAGTGTGGACTTATTGGGCTGAATAGCCCATTTCCACACTTTAGGGATTCTATGGAACTACCCTTATATTTTGGATGCTCGACGTGCAAGGTTTCCCATTTTATCCCACTCATAATTACTCTGCAAAGCTCTGTTTCTGCATGTCTGTGCAGGTCTGTCTTTTCAGAGTGCGAATATAAGCTTGGAATTAAGGGAGCTATACTTTAATTCAAATTGGAGCTTAGACGAAAACCAGCTTGCCACTTGTTTGAAGAATGTGTTTGCCTATAATAAAGATGATATTTTTAAGTTTATCGAAGAGCCTGATGAAAGTCTCTTGTATTCTAGTTAATGGTAATGAAAAGAATCAGTGAGTCTAGCTCATCCCTCCTGCCGGGGAAACACAGCAGCTAACTCACCGAGACTGAAAGCAGGCACTTATGTTATAAGCACGTACTCACTCATTCTTGTTCTAAAAACACTGGTCAAAAATCAGAAACAAAACATGTGTTTTGGTCAATTACAAACAAGCACATAAAAGCAAAGATGATCAAAAGACCCCAGTTACTCACTAGTGCTCATCTTAGCCTGTATGTAAAGCAATGCAAACAGTCCCTTACATTCCCCAGACACAGAGGAAGAAGAAAGTTTTGGAGGAAAACTAGCTGGGACTCGCTAAGCCTTCCCAAAGGTGACAGTTTGCATTAAAATTAACCGTCTATAACATAGTTTATCAAATCCCTTAAATAGGTTCACCTCTAATCTGTATTTCACAGTATGGGTATCCCAAATCCCCTTTGTTTCTACTTATTACCTGAAGAAGGCAGGAGACAAATGCATTTCACTGTACTCTCCATGTTCGAAAACAACTCAGAAGATTTTAAAAGTTTACAAAATCGTTACATTCTTTTCAAAAATTTGCAGATGGAATAGCTCTCCCTTTGTTCTGGAATAAAAGAGCTAAGACAAAAGTACGCACTGGGCAGATGAGCGAAACACGTAAACTTGTGGTGGCGATCTCACTGTCAGGGTCTGCCGTCAGCTTTTCTTTGACTGTAATAAAGATGAAGAAAGAAGCTTTCAGTCTTAATAATCCCTTCTTTCCACCCCTGACCCCCACTAAATCATCCAACAATTCTGTATTTCCAGCAAACGACTCATCTTGGTGAATGACAGGGCTGCCGTCACCCTGGTTCAGAACCTCTCTGCCCATGTTGTTATATGCAAGGGTCTGTCCACACTAATGTATTACACAGAAGCTGTCACTAGACAAAGCTTGGAGTCACACAGATGCGCCCAGTTTGTGGCTCAGTGCCATAAGGATTATCTTGTTATCCCAGAAGATGACAACTTGGGGGAATATTTCTCACAGGCAAGAACCTATATTATCCCAAGGACATTGATGATTCTGAGGATTTGACAGCAGCTCAGGGGATGACTGCAGTGCAGCATAGTACAGTGGAAGCCCTGTATCCCCACCCACCCCAGTTATGCTTACTCAGAGCTCGAGAGTGGTCGGGGTTCCGGATCCCCTTCGCTCGCAGTCTTTGCAGTAACGTTGCTGACGTTAGCTGTTTGACTAGATACACAGAAACAGAATAATTCTGTTCAATGAAACAAAAATAGAGAAACTGTCAGCAACGAGGAGCCACAGAGGCTTCAAGAGCTCAAACAGAAAACACAGTGCGAGGTCACACAGCAGCCTGCAGTACTCACCCTGCCGTATTCGGAGGACCAGTTAATGGTGATCATATTAGGGATGGTGGCCGAGAGCTTGATGAGTGAAGTAACGTTGATGGGGCGACTGGGTCGTTTTGGTTCCACTCCATTTTTAGTGGGAGGAAGATATCCCTACAAAGACAGAAGCAACTGAGACCTTGGATCCTAACCCTAACCCTATCGCAGGAGGGGATTATCAGCATCACCAAGTCCAAAACATTTCTTCCCTCTTTAGAGATCAGCCTTGCCGGAAACTTCCTCAATTCTGACAGACATCTTGCGTTCTGCAGAAATCGATCCTTCGAAAGCTTCACCCCTACACCCCACACACGACCGCTCAGCATATTCATTCACTGATCAGAGAACAGGAAGATCCCACATTCTAGTCTATTCTCTTAGCCCACTGTACTTCACCAAGGATTTTATCTCCAAAGGTTTAAAGAATGAAACAGAACTCGAACAACAGATACAAGATTTGTCAGCCACATTATCAGCTTTCTTAGTATTACTGTTCAGAGACATGGTACACTGGTACTGAACCAGCAGGTTATCAAGAAGTTTCACATGAAGTAGAACAAAGTGAAATAATTGTGTCTTGTCCAAGCTCAGCAGAATTTCTGCTAACTCTGACAAAGGCCAACAGGAAGCAGATTCTTGACTTATGAAGAGATGGTAAATGATGTGTTATTTTCAGGGGATCACTGCCACCTGTTAATTCATTCAAACAAGTTCAATTTGCAAAGGGAATGGGAAAAGGTGAGTGGATGATGTTGGGCTCATGTCAGGCAGCTGGTAGGATCGTAAGAGGACACTACATTGACAGCTGTTCATTTACAGGGCAACCAGGCCACAAAGTAACTCCATCCTCAACCCTCAGTTCTCTTTTTATTTTAAGAAGCTCGTTTATTATGTGACACAAGATGTAGTGACCTTCTGTTCACAAAATGAAATGTGAGCTATTCGAATCTCTCAGAAGCAGAATCCATCAGCATCCTTGATCATTAACCCTCCATTAAACATAAGGCCACAGCATGCAAAGGAAGCACTAATTTCCCTAGGCACCACAGTATTTAAGTTACGCAAGAAAACTGACCGAAACAACAGAGCTTCTTTTCAAAATAGTTCACAGTCTATCCACAAAACGCTATGAGCCTAAACGTGCCTTCTAGGTCATTGAGATCACAGCTAATGCATTTCCAGCTTATTCTGAATGGAATATTTTAACAGGGTAGTCATTTCCCTATTTGATGCACCTCAGATCTCAATCTCCGTTTAATTTAACAATTTTCATTAAAATTGGGTCCACTGCATTTTATCCCCATATAGTAATTCCTGAACACGTGCAGCCTTGGAGATTCCACATTAATTTACAAATAATTTGTAGCCTTTATGATTTCAAGCTTTTCTTGGCTTCCAGTTACCAAGTGTTCCTTTGTTGGCATGTTTTAAGCAGCTGCCTCTCCTTTACAGCCTATTCTCCACCCTAACCTATTGCATCCAAGCTAGGCTCTCTTCCACATTCACCTTCCCTTCACCCTCACTCTCTCACTCCCACTCCTCCCCTTGCAGCTTACCCCATCCTCTCTTACTTCCCCCCCACCCCCTTCCAGCTTCCCCTCTCTCTCCCCTACTTCCCCCCCCATTCACATTCTACGCAGGAGGGAAATAGTTAGAGACTCAGCATCAAGCAAAGGAAGAGGCAGCAGATATTTCTGAAACACTTACCGGTAAAGGGCAGAGCTTCCCGTTGACTTTTACAAATAAATTAGGAGGGAAGTAATCCTCCTGAGGACAGCTAGTCTCACACAAACAAAACCTGCGACAAAGGTACAGAGTTATATTAGAACAAATGCAGCAACACTACACCATAACCTTGATACAAAACCTTAATTTCAGAGCCACCACAAGACTGTTCAGACCACTGCCATCAAGTTAGACTGCTGTTGTGCAAGAGGATTGAATGATATGGATCAAGGTAAGAAATTAATATATAGGTAAGAACACAGGAAATAAGAGCAGTAGTAGGCCATTCAGCCACTCAAGACTGCTTTACATTCAATGAAACCATTGTATCTTCTACCTCAACATAGTTTTCCCACACTATCCCCATATCATTCTAAGTCTTCATATCTACAGACCTGTTGCTCAGTCCAGAACATCTGAGCCTCTGAGGTGAAGAACTCCAAAGATTCACTACCCTTGAGGTGAAGAAATTCCCTCATCTCAGTTCAAAATGGCCTTCCACTTATCCTGACACAGTCATCTGGTTCTAGACTCTTCTCAGCTTCCCCCCAGCAGCCTGTCAATCCCTGTAAGAATTTTTCTCCTTCAATGAGGTCCCCTTTCTTTCTCCTAACCTAGAGAGCACAGGCTCAGTCTACACAATCTCTCTTTATAAGATAACTCTTACATCCCAACAATCAGTCTGGCAAACTTCTGCTGCACTCCCTCTACGTTAAGCTTTTGTTCCTTAGGCGGGTGGATAAGAACTGCATACAATATTCCAGGTGCAGACTCACTGAGGCTCTGTACAACTGCAGCAAGATGTTTTTAACTCCTTGACTAAAATCCTCTAGCAGCAAAGGCCAAAAAAACCATGTGCCTTCTGTAACTGTTTTCTGCACCTGCATGGTAGCTTTTAGTTTGAAAAAGAACAGCCAGGACCCTTTTATACAAGAACTTCAGAATCTCTCAACCATGTAAGGATTATTCTGCACCTCCAGTGCTCCTCCTAAACTGGGTAACCTCACACATAATTACTTTGTATTACAGCTGCCATGTTCTTGCCCGTTCATTCAGGCTGTCCGAATCCCCCTGAAGGTTTTTGCATCCTTTCAACTCACATTCCCCTTCAGTTTTGTGTTATCAGTACATTTAGGAAGGATGTTGTGAAACCTAAAAGAGTTCAGAAAAGATTTACAAGGATGTTGCCACTGTTGGCAGAAGCTATAGGGAGAGGTTGAATGGGCTGGAACATATTTTCCCTGGAACATTGGAGGCTGAGGAGTGACCTTCTAGATGTTTATAAAAATCATGACAGGCATGGATAGGGTGAATAGACAAGGTCTTTTCCCCAGGGTAGGGGAGTCCATAACTAGAGGCCACAGGTTTATGGTGAGATGGGAAAGAATTAAAAGGGACCTAAGGGACAATTTTTTCCACGCAGAGGGTGGTGCATGTATGAAAATGAGCTGCCAGGTGGAGGCTGGTACAGTTACAACATTTAAAAGACTTCTGGATGGGTACATGAATAAGAAGGGTTGAGGGGTTTAGAGGGATATAGGCTAAATTTTGGCAAATGGGACTAGATTAATTTAGGATATCTGGTCGACACGAACGAGTTGGATCAAAGGGTCCATTTCCATGCTGTACATCTCTATATCTCTATGACTCTATTTGGTCCACACACCCCTACCATTGATAGAGATTGTGAAGAGCCAGGGTCCTAACATGATCCTTGTGATACCCTACTAGTCACATCTGCCAGCCTGAAAATAGCCCATTTATTCATTATCTCTGCTTCCATCCTGATCAATTCGCGATCCATGCCACTATATTCCCCCCAATCCCATGCTCTCTAATTTTGCTCCCTAATCTCAAGTGGGATCCCACCAAAAGATTTCTGGCAGTCCAAATGTCCCCCATCCATGGCTTACCCATACCTATTATGTTTCTTGGATGAAAATATAGGTGATCTGATTTGTAAGTTTGCAGATGTCACAAAAATTGAAGGAGTTGTAGTGAGGAAGGTAGTCAAAGGATACAGATGAGTTGGAAAGTTTGGGAGAGAAATGGCAAATGCAGTTTAGTCCAAACGAGTGACGTGATGCATTTTGGGCGGTCAAACGCAAGAGGAAAGTATACAGTAAATGGCAGAACCCTTAGGAGTATCGATATACTGAGGGATCTTGCGGTGGAAATCTATAGCTCTCTGAAAGTGACAACACAAGTAGATAAGGTGATAAAGAAGTTGTACAGCATGCTTGCCTTCACTCAGGGCACTGAGTATGAAAACTGGCAAGTCATGTTGCAGCTGTATAAAACTTTAGTTAGGCCACATTTGGACGACTACGTGCAGTTCTGGTCACCACACTACAGGAAGGATGTGGAGCCTTTAGAGAGGGTGCAGGAGATTTACCAGGATGTTGCCTGGATTGCAGTGTATTAGCTGTAAGGAGAGGTTGGACATTCTTGGATCGTTTTTGTTAGAGCATCAGAGGCTGAGGGGCGACCTGATACAAGGATATAAAATTATAGAGGGGTATGAACAGTCAGAGTGTCTTCCCTGTGTGGAAACATCAAATAAGTATATACTTCAAATAAGGTTTAAGGTGAGACAGGGAAAGTTTAAAGGAGAAATGGGAGGCAAATTTTGTTTTAAACACAGAGTGGTAGGTGCCTGGAATGCACTGCCAGGAAAGGTGGTAGAAGCAGATATGATAGCAATGTTTAAGAGGCATTTAGTTATGAATGAACATGCAAAGAATACAGGGATATGGACCACGTGGAGGCAGATGGGTTTAGTTTAGAATGGCATCAGGTCAGTACAGACATGGTGGGCCAAAGTGCCTGTCCCTACGCTGTACTGTTCTATGTTCTATTCTGCTAGTTACATCTCATACATAAACCCATGTTAACTGTGCCCAATTCCAAGTGCCCATTTATCATATCCTTTATAATGGAATGTAGCATGTTCTATCATACGGATGTTAGGATAACAGGTCGGTAGTCCAGTTTTCTTTCTTCCTCCTTTCTAAAAGGATGGGGGTTACACTTGCTACCTTCCTACCTGCAGGAACTGCTCCAGAATCTATAGAATTTGGAAACGTGACCACGACCCCATCGGTTTCTCTACTGCCTATTTCAAAACTCGGAATTAGATCATCAAGTCCAGGGGATTTATTAACCTCGAGTCCCTTCAATGTTCAGTTTCTCCACAACAACGTTTTTAAAAGTACTGATTTTGTTTAGTCTCACTCTTGCTGGGATGTTTCTTGTATCTTCTTCCGTGAAGACAAAAAAGGTATCTGTTGAGTCTCTCGGCCACTTCCTTATTCGACCCACAACAAATTCTCTGGTCTCAGCCTGTAATTGGCCCAGATTTGTCATTGCGAATCTTTCTTTTTACATACTGACAGATGCCTGTGGAGGAGGCATCTGTTCACTGATTGAAGGGCTGAATGGAGGAGTGAGCCCTGGGGCTGGGGAGTTGTGGTGTAGCCAAACAGAGGTGGACTGCAGGGAATGAGGGCCTTTCAGTTTCATATACATTCAGTGACACTCTAAAGCACAGTACTTTATATACTGAAGGGCAATTAGATTCAATATACAAAAGCCAGATCTCCCCACGTACACCCCTCGGATTTTACATATGGAAACAGGGACGCAACGGCCTACTGGTATCATCACTGGACTGTTAACCCAGAGACCCCAGGTAATGTTTTGGGGACCTGGGTTTGAATCTCACCATAACAGATGGTCAAATTTGAATTCAATAAAAATCTGGAATTATGAGTCTGAGGATGACCACGAATCCATTGTTGATTGTCAGAAAACAACCCTCTGGTTCACTAATGTCCTATATGGAAGGAAACTGCCATCCTTATTTGGCCTAGCCTACGTGTGACTCCAAACATACAGCAATATGGTTAACTCTTAACTGCCCTCTGGGTAAGAAATGCTTGCCTAGCCAGCAATGCTCACATCTTATTAATGAATTTAAAAAAAACACAATGAGATGGATGGGAATCTCTCCCCGTCTTTCAGCAGCTCCTTCCCATCATACTGCCCCTGTGAGGCCAAGTCAGCTCCGAACACATCCAGCTGACGTGCAGCTTGCAGAAATCAAAGGCAGATGAAAACTCCTGCTCAAGTGGCATTGTTTGTCATTCCCACTGCCATTCTCTACAACACCCTGACTGAGAAAGGGAACACTCTCACCACCTGGCAAGCTACTAAAGAACCCCTCCAAGACCTTACCTCAGTTGCACCTGGACTGTATGATCACCTTTTGCTCCAAGTAACAAATCTCTGAAAGGAAGAAAACCAATTGTTTGAGTAAAACTGCCCCTCAAAATAAAAATACATTGCTGCTTGGTTTATTCATTGTGTAGAATCAAAAAATAGTTACAGCATAGGAGGCAACCATTCAGTCCTTTCAATTAAACGCTTCATCGTCCATTGGCAAAGGAAGAAACCAGAGCCAGCCTTTACATGGAATGGATTTATTCACAGAGTGTGAACCATTACAAGTATATATGATGAACCATTATTCTGTATTTCTTTATACTGTTAAAATCAATTAAAGAAACTAAACCAAATTAAAAGGTGACAAACCCTTACGGGGCAACTGCAACAAAAATCTAATGTTCAAACAAAACTTAAAATTTCATTTCAAATATGCTTAAGCAGCTATCCAATCAATGCCCTCCACAAGTGGAAATATTTTCTAACTAACCTGGTTCACAGATGTCATTACACAGCCCTGGAACTAGAGGGACTTGAACCTGGGCCTCCTGTTTCAGAGGCAGGGACACAAAAAGTCCGTGACAGATCTCTACAACAGCAACCCTCTCTCTCACCCAACCATACCCTCCAACCTCTACCCACTCTTCCTCGCATCATACTCTCACTGCTGTCTCTTTGCCCCCGCCTCCTCAGGCCCTATCCCTCACACAGTCAATTCACGCTTCTGAAAAAGTCTCTCTCTGATAGCTTACTGAACTGTTTGGGTGAAAAGTTTTGCCCATTTTCACACTCTCACCTGGATGAGCAAATCTGTTGAACTTGCTGTGGGGTCAATGCAAACGTAACAACAGCTTCCTCAAATCGTTGACCATTACTTGATACTGTACAAAAAGAAAGCAGAAAGGATACAATGGAAACACTGCCTCATCATCATCGAGAAATAATATAGGCCCGTGAAACTAAAATGGAACAAAAAACCACAGAAGCTGGAAATCTGAAACATAAACAGCAATTGCTGGAGAAATTCAGCAGGTCTGGCAGCATCTGCAGAGAAAAAGCAGAGTTAACATTTCTAGTCTAATTCTGAAGAAGTCTCCCTTCCTTCACCACCCCAACCCTCACTACTCTCTCCTTCCCACTCCTCACTGCTTCCTCCTCTTGTGCTGCTCTCACTGACCGACTGACTTTCTTTGGAATGAGATCAAAGTTGTCCTTACCATAACACAGTGCCATGTATGGGTATAGGCTATTCTGCATATGCTGCAACGTTGGTAGCTAGGTCCCATTTTCGTTCTAGTCTTTATAAAATATTGTTCCTCTGTAATGCCCTCCTGCTTGTGCAGAACTGCAATGTTTGTCTCAGTTGGCTGGACAGCCAGCTTGTGATGCAGAGAGATGCCAACAGTGTGGGTTCAGTTCCTGAAACAGCTGAGGTTACCATGAAGGACTCTGCATCACAACTTCTCCCCTTACCTCAGGTTAAACCACCAGCAGTTGTTTCTCTCGAATGAGGGAGCAGCCCTATAGTCTGGTAAGACTATGGCAATTTTACCTTTACCTTACCTTCAGACCAAACAGAAGGTCCCATCAAATTCCAGGCATGCTGGGTACAGAATGACCACTGGTCAACAATATCATTCCTTCCAAATCCACCAAGCTCCACCCCACCCCACCCCATATCTTCCCCTCCAAGCCCCCAGGCTAGTCATCACCATGGCCTTACCTAATGTGGTTGGTTTGGTCAGCTCATCATAGATGTCATAAAATGGCAGTCTCCTCATTTTGACGTCTGGATGCACTGGGGGCGACAGATGTTGTAAATCTAATTCTCGCTTGGGAGTGAGCATGCTGAGGGGAGACAACAGTGGGGACACCAAGGCCGAGGCAGCAGAGGTACTGTAGTGAAGCTGTGGATTGCTGCCGAGAGCCAGAGATGCACTGGCTGAGGGATGAGCCACGGCGTTCTGGACAGACAGTAGAGGCAACTCCATGGTGGCGTGGCTCTTGCGAGGGAAGCGACGCCTGTAGAGCTCTTTGATTTTCATGTGCACAGCTGGACTGCAGCCAGACTTCAACATGTACAGCACTTTGGTCAACAGCTCGTGTTTACGGCCTGTCTTGTTCCGGCCAGAGAATCCCAGCAGCACTTGGAGTTCCGACACTCTAAAGCTCATCACCATGTGCTGCAAAACAGAGAATCTGTTAGAAACAAAAACAAGTTGCTAGAAAAGCTCAGCAGGTCTGGCAGCATCTGTGAAGAGAAATCAGAATTAACGTTTTGGATCTAGTGACCCTCCCTCAGGATCTGTTAGAGTGGGGAAAAGGTAGGGCAGAGAGGCAGGGGTGGAGAATGGTGAAAAGGTGGGGGCTGCAGGGCCAGGGGATAGTTTTGCATCAGTGTTGAGAAGTGGGGCATCAAGGGAGAGTGGAATTTATCAGGGTGAGTGACGAGATGCCAGGTAAATGGTTTGGTCGGGGGGGGGGGGGGGGGGGGGGGG